AACAACAAAAACTGTGCAAACTAATTATGCTTGGCTTCCCACTGTACAGGGCTTCTCTGCTCATCATCTAAGTCTTCCTTTTATCAATCAGTAGAGCCTTATTCATAGAAACATGTACTGATGCCAGGTGCTAGAGAAATAAAAGGCTTATTAATTATCAACTAAATTGTGCAACCTTTACTTAGATTGCGAGGTGTTTATTTGCAACAGCGGTCTTGCTGGGAGTAGGTGAGTAAGCATTCGCCATCTTTTTGGAATGGATGCCTGTCATTTTTAATTAATATTTTACATGGAAGTTTCCATCAACTATAAAAAAAATCACTTTCCTTGGTAATTAAGTGTTCAACATTGTAATAGAGTTCCTCAGATCCAGTTATGCATTGGCCAGCTACAGATATGTTTCTAACCAGAGGCCTGATCATGGCATCTTCACCCACAAATGTAGCCTACTGTTACACTGAAACAATCTGGAATTCTACATTTTGATAAAAGACATCTGTTATTGCTAATTTGTCATATTTGGAAGGAAAATGAGGGGAAAAAAATCTTTTCCACCTGTAGATACAAACAATCCCATGTTCAGAAGCATACATTTTTTATCCAAACGCCAAACTGAGTCAGGGTACCATAGCCTGCTGCTCTACGTGTATGGATTTTAAGGAGATACAGTTATTTGGCTTCATAAAGTTACAACAAAATTGAAAGCCCAAGTTTTTCCTGCATCAGCCAAACTGTAGCAAAGTAGGTCAAAAAACATTTAATTAAAAATCTTCATTCTTATGCAAAAACCTATTTCCTTTTATGGGTAAGAGAAAATATCACTGCATGAAAAAAAATGTGTAACTATATTAATTGGCAGCAGTGTGCTCGGTGCTGTGTGACAAACTACACAAAATGTTATTTTGGTAATATTATGCAACTAAAACATTAATCCTGACAATTCCTCATCCTTTTCCTAAGATCTATTACTGCCATAAACTTATTCCTAGGGCCGAGATGATGTCATGTGGAAGACTGATTAACACACCTATAATGTTAAAAGGTCTTGAAAATTTTATTAAGGTCACTATGAAGCATGACTCAAAACTTAATGATACCAATGGATGGTTAGGAACACACCCCAAACTGCTGTAGCAAGAAGGAAAGTCTCCTCATAGTATGGCTATGTGGAAAAAGCTCTCTTTCTTTGAAATGTCTTTTATTATTTTTTCCCCCAATTTTACATCAACAAGCTGGAGAATTTATGTTTCTTTTGGGAAGAACGTACGACATGACTTTTTAATTGTAAGTCAGAAGTAAGGTCATTCTTTGTCCTAGCAGATAGGACAGTGAAACGGGAAACCCCGTCTCATCTCTAACAGGGGCCTGCTGTGGGATCTTGGCCTAATCCTCTCATTTCTTAGTTTTTTTGTTGGCTACTCAGACTCTTTATAACAGGGGTGATCTCTCACTGTAGGGCTTCATTCTCAGTGTGGGACTTCTTAGTACTGCCGCAATGCAAGAACCATGTCTAGTTTAACTCTGTACTACATTGGATGCTACCTATGAACTTCAACCAGTTATGATTTTACTGTTTACCTTGGTAAATTATGGCATGGGAAGTTAACCCCTCTATTTATGGTGGCATGAAATTAAAGAGTTTGTTGTTTTATGTCTTTGATAGTCATGAACTCCCTTTCCATGTTCCTCTTGCCATATCATAGAGTTTCAATTGTAATTTTGCTGTAATTTTACTACTTGTAGTTTTACTATTTTTTATGGGACATATGCCAGATAAATCCTGCCCTGAGCAATTATATTCAAGGAAATATGTTGCAGCAAGTGCAGACATGCTGCTTCTATCGCGAGAGTGGAAATATATGGGCTGCACATAGCATTTTTGACCATTTTGAATAGATATAAACAACACCAGAGGTGAAGTGTTAGTGGGGTATCAGGTGCTTCCATGATTTTATAATGCTACCAATTATAGTGCTGACATTTATTTAGTTGCCACACAGTCGCATACGAGACACTGCATGGTTTCATGCTCTACCTGGAGAGAAAATTACCAAATCATCCATTTTAGATTTTTTTAGGCCTCAAATCTCATCAGACTTACTCTCCTGAGACTTCAGTATCTCCAATATCTTCTTTGTATATAGGAAGACAAAGTGAATCACCATCTCGTTTGATTTCCATATTCTGAGGTCTGTGTTAACTTGCTGCATAACATCCATGTACTTTTAAAGGAATTCCATTTCTCTTCTTCCAAATTCTCCTAATCCACCAGTTCCTTTAGTGTGGAATATAATGATAGCACTAATTCTTTTTTTCTTTTTTTGCACATGTAATTTGAACTGAATATGCTGTGGAAAAAACTCTCAGCTCAAATTTAGTATTTATTGCACTATTTATGTGTTCTCCCTGACACGTCCCAGAGAAAAAATAAATGAGACTGATTATATGAATCAGAAAAGGAGGGTAGAAACTTCTTCAGGAAGATGCACAAATGCAAATCAGTTTATGAGCTAGCACAGTAAGTGGACTAGCATCAATTCTTGACTTCAGTGGAATAGCCCCCGACTTCCACCGAATCAGCCGGGATCCGAATCTTACCCATGCATCTTCATTATGAACAAGCTCCATTAGCTCTATTGAACAGCAACTTACATCATAGAGGGAGGTAATTTACAGTTTTTATAACCATCATAATTTGTAGTACACAACTAACCACACAGCCATTCTTTCAAAACATCAAGATAAATCATGAGGAAATCAAAGGCATATTTAATGTTTGATGACAAATGGCTACTAACAAACATTTATTGCAATGAATTGTTGTTAAAAATGGTGATTACGGGGGAAATGCTGAACAGAGTTGATTAGGACCCCTCGTAGAGTTTTTTCGGCTGCCGCTCCTAAGTGCAATGGACCACCAAGTTTAGTTTAATCCTATCTAATTCTGCACAGGGTAATTATGGCAAATAATGGTAAATGAATCACATGCCCGTACAGGAGTATCACAGCCATTGTGGCAGTTAGATGGATGTGGTGTCAGAGGGATTAATGTGGTATAATACTGTGTTCACTTTTTGCAGCCTGTTATTTAGTCTAGCCAGCTCCCTTTCATTAAGGTAGAGCAATACAATAAGGTTACTATAGGCAGGCTGACATATGAGTGCCTCCATCCTACAGGGGACTTTTGGCACCTTCTAAAAGTCTTGTTTTGTGCATTAATGGGGGCTGGGGGGGAGAGAGACACAGAGACTGAATTTGCCAATGCTAGGGAAAAATCAGCATGTGAAGGATCTGCATATCACTGTGCCAACAAAGTAATTAGGCCTGAAAATTAGGTTGTATGTACCGCAGAATTCATGGGGGTCCAAAAAAGCACAGAGAGCAAGTTTTTGGCAAAGAAACTCAGCTCTCCCTCTCAGAGGAGAGGGGATCAGAGATCTGACGGAGGGGAGGAAACTAGATGTAGAGAGGTAGCTAAATAGCCGAGTGAAGCAGTTTAAATCGGCCGCATATGAACTACAAGAAGGGACTCTGCTCCATGGAGGAAACGTAAATGCAGCTGCTCCAGCAAAGAATGACATTAATAACTTTGACATTTCTCTCGACATACTTCCTAACCTGTCTGATGTGGAGGCTTTTTCTAATACCCTAACTGATGGTTTCCTGTTATAGACCACTGAAGAAGTCAGCGATAGGGTGGATTAGGAGCGGTCCGGTCCTAATCAATATGGGGACGTACATTCAAAGACAGTGTTCCTAGCTGAATGACGATTGGTATTTTGAGGGCCAGATCTGTAAAATCAGATCTTCTGAGGCACCGAGTCAATGAGCACCATTTTGTGAAGCTGGGGAGAACGGGTTGCGGAGGGTTTACTGTAACAATTAGATTCCTAAAAATGGAGCGGAAAAAATGTATTCCCTAAGCTATTGCTGTAACCCCGATAGGCAGAAACCTACAACAAGTTTTTGTTCTTGTTTTTTTCCAAGAAAAGAATACCTACTCCAACAAACATATCTTTCTGATTTCCATCCTACTGAGAAATAGGTAATACTGGGAATCTCACAAAAAAACCCATTGTCGAACAATTTACTGCTGAGATTTACTGACCCAAGACACGTGGAGGGTTTGGATTAATTTTGAACTAGCATCAGCTTTTGAGGGGGTTGTTTTCCAAACCAATCCTGTACAAGATGGTATTTTGGCCCAGTTGCTGCCATTTCATGCCACTTGAGAGGTGTGGAGGTGACAGGACGTGACTCCAGGTATCTAGCTGAGAAAGTCCCCAAGCAAGGGGAACTCACCTGCGGCAGCAAGCCAACTACTTGAAGGCAGTAAGTAGTTAAGACTCTACTCTGATGCTGACTCTACTCCTACTCACCATGAAAGTATGCAGGACGGCTGGCTGCCCTGTTAAATCACTTCAAAACTTATGTAGGATCCAAGCTTTTGTAATTTCTACTGGGTCAGGATGAGGGGTGCTTCATAATCCCAACCACTAGAGCTGCCTCATTTAAAGTGAATCCAGTACATACTTTTTCTGAATGAGCCAAAAAGTAAAAATCCATTGTCAAGGAAATGTTTTGTTGCACACAAAATCAAAGCATTTCGTCCCAACTTTGGGTGCTTTTTCAAAATGACAATTTTTTTTACTCTTCCCCAATTTTTTTTTTTTTTTTACTCAGCAGGAACAATTCAGGATAAACTCTTTTTTGCTTTGAAAAAGTTTCAGGTGAAAAAAATCCACCCATCTCTGATATCCAGCTCCATCTCCCTGTACAGAGCTGATATGAACACAAGAGATAATCTCACTGCTTACCTCCAAATGATTTAAGTTGGAAACATGCCGGTGTGTTTATAACTATGGACCACGTCCTCTTTTGTGTCTTAGCATTAAAACATCTACAGGTCTCAAAATCACCCACCAACATGGCAAGGAAAGCTCACGGTGCTGAAGTCATGGAGAATGGCTGACCTGAACTCGATGTGATTTTGTTTGCAGGAACTGGAAATAAGCCAAGTCCTGAGACAGCACTTTGAGATATGAATGACCCATGAAGAGCTACCAAAAAAGTGGCCTTGCCATGTCTCACAGGGGAAGGGATGATAAAGTGTTACAACCCAAGCCTACCTCCACTTCAGGAGAATGCAGGTACTATGCGGTGAGTATTTCGGGTCACACTCGCTACCAGTGTGCTTGAAGCCCATAAGGTTTTCTGGAAACATGAACATTGGGAATAAAGAGTGTGAAGCATAAGGGTTAGATACCAGCTTCACTTTCTGTATTTTGGAAGACAGGTCAAACATTTCAGCAACTGCAGTAGGGCAATTTAGCCTCTGAAGGGTCATTTAAAAGTAGACAGAACAAGGCTAAATCAATAGAAACAGGGCATCTAATCTACACATATTTGTGGATGATATATAAAAAGAAAAGGTTCAATGACAGAAGTGGAAAGGATTTTGAACATATAGCTTGTGTGAAAGGTTTGGGGATAGTAACAGGTCATTCCTTCCGGAAGGTAAAAACTGCTCTGAGTGATGGAGATGAAGCAAGCTGAAGTCACATTAAGCAAGCGCAACTCATGAAATTTACTCCCGTGCTTCACCTCCTGTATTACATTCATTTGATTACACCGTACTTAGACAGACGTGTGCTCACTGGCAGGCTGCACAGAACGCCAATGCTGATGATACCTTAAATCAAGACACTGAATAAACACAGGTTTGAATATGAATTTCCGTAGGGCGGAAGAATAATGGTGAGATTTCATTTCCCATTTATTACTACATGCCGGTAATGTGCTTGATAGTGTAAATGCCTTTAATTGATAAGAATAGATTTTTTTTAAATCTATGGGCTTTCTTCTGCTCCTACGCTATAGTAAATCAGAAGCAGCTCTAGAGATGCCAATATAGTTATACCACTGTCTCTCTTTGGGAAAGAGGAAAATCGGAGCTACCTTTTTTTTAAAGGTATACAATATAGTATACACTTCTTTGCAGCACAGATGAAGAGGAAGGAGGGTCTAAAAGGGTTAAGGGAGCAGCTTAAGATTTAAAAGACCTGGGTTCTTTTACTACAGGCTTTCTGTCTTACCTTGGGCACGTCACTCTTAGACCCTCTATGCTCTAGAGATACTCCCCTAACTTAAAGAAACATTATTATCTTTTTTTCTTGCAAAGAAATTAGGGTGTTAACCAAGCAAAAAAAAAAGAAGGAAATTGGAGATTAATTTGCTGAATGTTATAACAGACTTAAAAGGTCATAGGCAAGATTCTGGCCCCATTGGGGTCATTGGGAGATTCTCCATTTGCTGGGGGGGGCATAATTTCCCTATTGTGTGCCCCACAGGAACAATAAGATAGCTGTTTAGTGCAGAAGGACCACTCTCTTCACAATAAATAGCAGTAACAAGATCCCTGTAGAAACACATAGGGACTTCTCTGGGCAAAGCAGCTTGCAGGGTCCAGGCCTACATGGAAAACTATACCCATAACTTGATGGAAAATCTGGCCTCCAAGCTTTTCTTATTTTCCTCTGACAGTTACCATGAAAACCATTCCTGCACAATTCCAGCATCTTTTAATCTGAAGGTGCCAGAATAATAGAGAATGAACATCTGTCTTCGAATGGGACATGCCAATATTTAAGCAAGCAGTGGTTTTTCTTCCCTTCAAGATTATCAACTGATTATTCAAAATATATTTGCCCAAATATTGTCCCCGATTCCACAGCACACAGGCAGAAATGAGAACAGAATTTGGCCCAATATGTTTAAGCTAAGCACATTTTTTGCAGCTATGCAAAGTTATCTGATTTCCATGAAATACTTCGTAAGTGGCAATTTGCCTTTGTGGGCCTTAGTTCACGTCAAGCCTTCTCACACTGATCATTTCATGAAGATTTAATTGAATCCCACTTAAATAGCATCAACTAGCACTTATTCATGAAGCCATCCAAGCCTTTCACCACAAATGCATAGTTTTGTATTCTAAAAAAAAAAGGTATTAAATAACCCTATCACAGGAGTAGCTTGAAATGTATTCTCTTCCTCTGCACCCACTTACTTCCATTTTAAGAGCATTTTTCCTCAAAATATAAATGCAAAAGTAATATTTTAACAAATGTACTAATTTTTGTTCTGACCCTATGTGGTAGGTGGGAGGTGGAGCAGTTATGTGAATAGACCCCGCTATGGGTTAGATTCAAGACAAACATAATGGAAGTGAAGATTACATACTTGTATATTGCTGCAATGGAGTTGGGAGTCAGGTAGGCCTGTTGCTGGGTCAAATCCTGAAACAGCAGCACCCAGGTGTTAATACGTCTATCTAAGCAATGCGGGTATGGGGCCATTCTGCAGGCTGGATCTTGACATAGGGTCAGTCTTCAGGCCCGATCCTGTGTGGAGTCAATCTGCAGGTACAATCTGGCAGGCTGGCCTGACCCCATGTGTTGGATCTGGCTACAGAATGACTCTGCACCCCAGCCCCATTGTGCATGAGCATGGTCTGGGACACAGAGCCACATCACCTGAGACATGGGGTCCCTACGGGAAGTGATAATTAATGCTGCCACACTGCTCCCCCACTACCAAATTTCCAGATCTGTAGGGAGCCCCATTGGCTAGATGACATGGCTTCATGGGCCAGATCTGACCCAGAGCAGAGAAATTGAGCATCACTGTATTAAAGTGGCAGCCAGATGCACTTAACCCACCCTCCATCGAGAACTCCACGGTCCACTCCAGAAATGAGCCATGTTAGCTACGCCGAGGGCATGGAAACCACAGTGGTGCAGGCCAGAGAGATAGATTACATCCAGTGCTGTGCATCAGCATAAAGGTCTCTTTCAGAGCAAGTGCAGGGAGATGCCATTGAAAAAACTGCTTTGATTCACTTGGGGTGAATCGATTTCTAGGCCAGCAGCTGTCAATTTGTAACACATGAGAGGGGGTAAATCCAGCCCAGCTGGTGTGATGACAGTAGGAGGTAGGATGGGTGTAAAATCCATAATGTGAATATGCACAAAAACGTAAGATAAAGGCAGAGTCAGTCCTCCATTGCCTGTTAGTTGCTTTCCCTGGTCAGCTTCATCCGTCCTCCAATTGAGACACCAGTGACACACATTTGCCGGCATGTAACTAGGTCCATACCACCATGTTGCCATTGATTTGGGCTCATTTAATTTAAATCTGCCTTTTATTACCTATTAAACCTCAAGAGCAACATTTTAATGGGGTTTTTTGTGGGGGAAGACATTTTGGGCACTCAATTATTCAGTAGAATTCTAGGTTTATTTTTGCTCAAGAATGAGAAAACCATTAATCTCGAAATGAAAGGGGGTTTATTTTTTTTATGTTTACTGAGTTCATGGCATTTTGTTCATGATGATCCTTCCAAAACAAGACTAAGAGATACAATAGGTGACTTAAGAAATATGCTATTGTTTTGCTAGGGGGGGTAAGAATTATTTCTGTTTCCATCATATAAATGATCCCATAAGAGACTATGAGGGCTTTTTTTCTCATAAAAATAGCTTACACAGGTTCATATTAAAAGCATGTCTTGTTACTGTTTGGCATGGTAAGGACACAGTGGACTTAACTTCAGAGCTGTGATGAAATCAAGGTGTCTTGCTGAGATGCCCCCAGTATTGATACAGGACTACAGTAAAAGCAATGCAAGTGTCTTTGTACATCCATCATGGGAAGGAAATTATTATATAGTTGTCACTATTTATGCATATCAGAAGAATCTGAATCCATCTTACTCTCTTAAATTTGGAGAGAAAAGTCCATGTAATCTGAGAGAGAAGAATGAGTGAGAAAAACTTATACATGGACACCTTCTTACGCAGAATACAGTGGACAATTTAAAAATTGCTCTTTCCCTCCCCAACCACTTTATAGGAGTCTACTTAAGTATCATGGAGAAATGAAACAATTTTTACAGGTTGTTCACAGCATAAATAGCATATGTCATGGATATTTCCCAGATGTGCTCTGGCAGTCCTGCCCCTTGCACTGATTGGTGGAGAGGCCCCGAACGCAGGAGGAGGGGGTGGCTGTCATCTTGTCTCCTGGCTGCCCTTCATGTGGCTCTGCTGCTTGGTGCTGATTGGCAGAGAGACCCTGGTGAGGCGAGGTGGTTGCCATCTTGTCTGCTGGCCTTTGAGGCACCCCACCAGCCTGTGCCTTCATTCCAAGGCTTTTGATGTGGTCCCCCACCTCATTCTTGCAGACAAGCTAAGGACATATGGGCTGGATGAGTGGCCTGTAAGGTAGAAAACTGGATGGAGCATTGGGCTCAGAGAGAAGTTATCAATGGCTGGATGTCAAGTTGACAGCCAGTATCAAGTGGAGTGCTGGTTTTGTTCAACGTCTTCATTAACAACCTGGAGGATGGCATAGAGTGCACCCTCAGCAAGTTTGCAGATGACACGAAGCTATGGGGAGTAATAGACAAGATGGAGGGTAGGGCTAGGATTCAGAGCGACCTACACAAATTGGAGGATTGGCCCAAAAGAAATCTCATGAGGTTCAACAAGGACAACTGCAAAGTCCTGCACTTAGGACAGAACAATGCCATGCACCAGTACAGGCTGGTGCCTGACTGGCTGGGCAGCAGCTCTGCAGAAAAGGACCTGGGTGTTACAGTGGACAATAAGCTGAGTATGAGCCAGCAGTGTGCTCTTGTTGCCAAGAAAGTTAATGGCATACTGGACAGCATTGGTAGGTGTCTTGCCAGTAGGTCAAGGGAAGTGATTATTTCCCTTTATTCAGCACTAGTGAGGCCACATCTGGAGTACTGTATTCAGTTTTGGGCCCCCAGTTACAGAAAGGATGTGGACTAATTGGAGACAGTCCAGAAGAGGGCAACAAAAATGGTGAGGGGGCTGGGGTACATGACTTGTGAGGAAAGACTGAGGGAACTGGGCTTATTTAGTCTAGAGAAGAGAAGACTGAGAGGCAATTTAATAGCAGCCTTCAACTACCTAAAGAGGGGGTTCAAAAGAATATGGAGCAAAACTGTTCTCAATGGTTGCAGATGACAGAAGAAGGAGCAATGGGCTCAAGTTGCAGCAAGGGAAGTTTAGGTTAGATATTAGGAAGAATTTTCTCAGTAGGAGGGTGGTGAAACACTTGAACAGGTTACCCAGAGAGGTGGTGGGATCTCCATCCTTGGAGGTTTTCAAGACCCAGCTAGACAAAGCTGTGGCTGGGATGATCTAATTGGGGACGGTCCTGCTTTAAGCAGGGGGTTTGAGGTCCTCCTGAGGTCCCTTCTAACCCTAATTTTTTATGATTTCCATGATTTCCCCAGGGTGGGCTGTTAAGTTGGGTTGCAGTGGCAGTGAGGACTCCTGGTTCCCACTGGGGAGCCAGCATTTTATTTTTATGAAGGTTTTTTTTTTAAGC